CCGCCGGTGGGGGAGGGGAGGGGAGGGGAGCAGCAGAAGCTGGACCAGCAGACTCTTCTTCCTTCTGCTGATTATGTTCTTGCTGCTTATGGTGGGGACCAAGCTGCTGCTGCTGCTGCTGTTGCTGCTGCTGCTGCTGTTGTTCCTGCTGCAGATACTGCTGCAGCCAATACCACCCAAAACATTACACAGCGCATGCAACAGCACTTGTGCTGCTGCTGCTTGCTGCTGCCTCCCCTTGCTGCTGTTGTTCCTGTTGCTGTCGCTGTTGTTGCTGTTGTTGTTGCTGCTGCTGCTGCTGCTGTTGCTGCTGCTGCTATTAATGCAACAAAAAAATAAGAAAAATGGCTACATCTAATGAGTGTCTTCTGCTGCAGCGCTTGCTGTTAGCTGCTGCTGCTGCTGCTGCTGCAGCAAATAAGACAAAGAATATTATTTATATAATAATATTAATAAAGAAGAAATTCTTTATAAGTAAATAAATACTCAATAAAAGAAAAAGAAGAAAAAAAAATAAAAGAAGAAAATATATTATTCTTATTAAGGACAATAATAAGTAATAATTATCTTCGCCATGCTGCTGCTGCTGCTGCTGCTGCTCTTTAGGTGTACATACACCTGAATATATATAATAGTAAATAATAATAGGCGAATTTGCTTCTATTATATTGAGGTGTACATACACCCCAATCTTTATCCTTACTCATACCTCCTGCTGCTCATGCTGCTGCTGCTACTGCTGCTGCTCATGCTGCTGCTGCCGCTGCTGCTGCTGCTGCTGCGGAAGAAACCAACCGATGACGGCAGCAGCAGAGCAGCAGCAGCAAAGCCCCCCCCCTCCTTCCTTATACACCGTAGATGTATATAGAAAAATACACCATAAGATATAATTCTTCTTTATTTATTTATTTATTTATTTATATATTAATTCTTTTTATATTTAAAAATGTAATTTATACACCGTATATCTTCCTGCTGCTGCTGCTGCTGCTGCAGCAGCAGCTACAACTTGGGGTGTCTGCGCAGCTCGATCAGCAGCAGCACTGGTTGTTACTTATACAGGTGTTTCTTCTTTATATTTTTTTGTGCTTTTTTTATTTAATTAAATTAATTAAATAAAATATATTTATATATAAAATATATATAATAATAAATAAATAAATAAGACAGGAATTAACAGCAATAAGGCAATAAGTAAATATTTTCCTTATTTGTTGTTATATATACAACTATTATAATTAATTTTTTTTTTTTTCTCTCCTCTAGGGTTTAGGGTTTAGGGTTTAGGGTTTAGTCAGTCTTATTTCTCTTATCTTCTAGTTAGTAGAGGTACAGCTATGTATAGTTATGTATATATTATATATATATTTCTTTTTTCTTCTCTTTCTCCTTTTTATTTCTTTTTTTTCCTCTTTACTAACAAGAAATACATTTATATTACCAACTCCCTAAATAGCAGCTAAATAGGCAGCAGCAATGAGGCAGAAAGCAGCAACAGCAGCAGCAGCAGCAGCTGAAGCAGCAGCAGCAGCACCTTCTTGTCTCATTCAGCTGTCTTGTCTGGATACTCCCCTACACACACTAAGGGTTTAGGGTTTAGGGTTTAGGGTTTAGGGTTTAGGGTTTAGGGTTTAGGGTTTAGCAGGTAGGAGTTAGGATGCGGATTAAATTAAAACCACCAATCATGCATGCATGCATGCATGCATGCATGCATGCATGCATGCACGCATTAATACAAGCATGCATGCATACATATATATATTGATACATACATGCATTAATAAATACATGCATGCATGCATGCATCTGCATGCATCTGCATGCATGCAGATGTTTTATTCAAGTTGTTTAGTTCGTATAATTTCCCTGAAGGTGACGGCCTTCTCTTTTAATACTTCTACAGCCATCTGCAGCAGCAGCAGCAGCAGCAGCAGCAGCAGCAGCAACAGCAACAGCAACAACAGCAGCAACAAAGGAGACACAAAATGAGACAGGATAAAACAGCTGCTACTGGTGCTCTTGCTGCTGCTGCTATTGATGCTGCTGTTGCTGTTGCTGCTACTGCTGCTGCTGCTGCTGCTGCTGCTGCAATTTACCTTGAATAGTTTGGGTGCAGGAATAGAACAAGTTGATTCAATAGAGACTGCAAGATAAATACAACACAGTAAACCCTAAACCCTAAACCCTAAACCCTAAACCCCATAAAAATAAAGATGAATATACACAAGAAACAGTGTGCATGCGCTAAAATAAAGCCCCAAAATCGTGCATGCATGCGGCAACGCTCAAAAAAAAAGACTCTAACAGTAAAACCCTCAACAAGGGTTTAGGGTTTAGGGTTTAGGGTTTAGGGTTTAGATACGAACATATAAATTCATTAGCAATTTTATTTAATTGAAGACGTCCTTCAAATCTCTCAACGCATGCACGGCAAGTTGTGCAGTTGCGTGGATACTTGGCGTATGCAACGCCACCTGCAGCAGCAGCAGCAGCAGCAGCAGCAGCAGCAGCAGCAGCAACAGCAACAGCAACAGCAAATGGTAGGTCTTATTGAATTGATCAATAACTATTAGAGGCAGAAGGGAAAGAATGTTGCAACTACAACTCCAAACCCTAAACCCTAAACCCTTGTGCAAGCCCCAAATGCATGCATGCATGCAATGAGAATAAATGCATGCGTGCAGTGCATGCATGCATGCGTGGACTGCATGCATGGATATATTCTTACTTGTCTCCTCTATATCAAAGACACCCATAGGACATAATTCTTTTAATTCTTTTGCTTCTTCTCCTTTAATTGGTGTATTAAATACTGAATATATACAAACATTCAGGTGTATGTACACCTCAATTATATATATATTATAACGACAAATATACAACAAAATAATACAAGAAAGAGGGTTTATACTATACAGATTAGGGTTTAGGGTTTAGGGTTTGCGGGTATTCATGTGGATTCTTGAGGGTTTATTAAAGAGTCTATACTACTCCTCTGGAAAAAAATTAGGGTTTAGGGTTTAGGGTTTAGGGTTTACCGAATTCAGGTTCAAGTCTATACACCGCAGTAGCAACAGGAGACCATTTTGCATGCGTTTTCCCTAAACCCTTCTCTAAATATCCATATAATTCTATTTCCTATAAACACCAATAATATATACACAACAATGCATGCATGCATGCATGCATGCAGCCCCAAAGATAATGATAGAAACCCTTAGGCTAGACTACCGCACTATAGGTGGATCAGCTAGCTAGCTGACAAGCCAGCTAGGCACCCATCTGGGTGCCTAGTTAGCCAGGTGTTGAGGGATGCAGGGACGCATGCATGGGCTGCATGCATGCATGCATGCATGCAGCCCCAATAGTAGGAAAAAAAAAAATACCTGTCCTGGTCTAAGTTTAGTAATAAGTATATCTGGATGTACAGGATGAGGAGGATCATTTATAAATTTTTGTTTTTGTCTCTCAGAGAAAGGAATCCATACTAAGTCCCGAGCATAGACTGTATATACACACCAAACCCTAAACCCTAAACCCTAAACCCTAAACCCTAATTTTTAGAAGATAGGAATCCTAATAAATAAGAATATATACACATATCTACATATGTAAATATAAATATATACATATATAATATTATACATGAATATGTATAAGCTGCAAACCCTAAACCCTAAACCCTAAACCCTAGGACCCCCAAAATATATGAATCGAAGCGGAATTTCTGCAAGAGAACCCCTAAACCCTAAACCCTAAACCCTAAACCCTAAAAGGTATAAAAGGGTTTGATGAATTACCTGGCATAGAGGGTTGATGAGGTTTAAGATCTGCATGTGTACATTTAACATGTAATTTAAATTTAATTGAATTATCTTCTGTTAATTCTTGTGTATTTTCTCTGTATTTTATCTTATTAGGGTTTACACGAAAAGGAATTAACCCTAATCTATGTGCTAATACCTCATCTTGTATTACACCTGTATTCTGCCATATCTACAAAAAAAAAAAAAAAAAAAAAAAAAAAAAAAAAAAAAAAAAAAAAAAAAAAA